ACTTAATAAATGCTTGCATTACAGACCAGTGCAGAAAGAGGCAGTATATATTTACTTTGGACTCATTTTCTGCTTGCTTTAGGAATCCCAAAAAGCACACCACTGCTTCATTTATCAGTGTTATGGTAAGCACTGATGAAAAATTGCATGCTATGTATCAGATTGTGTGCTGTATTGGGGAGGGGAGAGAGGGAGAAAAAAAATTTGGAACTCAAAATCTTGTAAAAGTGAATGTTGAAAACTATCTTTATTAGAAAAAATAAAATACTATGAAATGGAGGGAAAAAAAGAAAAATTGCAGGCTAGAGAAAATATTAGTGTGATGGCCTTTTTTTAAAAATGACCTGTAAAGTTGCTATTTAAAAGCTGGAGATAGCAAAAAAAAAAACTAGCCTATAGTTTAACCTGGCCCCATTTTCCTCTATATCCCTCAACAGGAAGGGCTAAAGAGCCAAGAAAGTCAGCAGGTATTAAAGGAGGGTGAGGCGTATAGAATATAATCGCCAAAATGAATAAACCCATGCCTATGAGAAGTGAATGTAATATCAAGGCCAAGAAAATATAATGCAATACAAATATTGCCATTCATTTTGAAATTTCTAGACCATACCAGTAGCAAATTATGAGTGGGTTGGACAGCATTTCCTTGAAGAGACCTAAACAGAGCAGCAGTTTAGAAGTCTTTTTGTTTTCAAATTTTAATTCTGGCACTTGCTGTCAATGTGGCATTGGACAAGTTAACTGCTGCTTTATACCTCCTTAATCTACAAAACGAGAATCTCCTTCACCCCATCCTCCCTGCCCCCCAAAAGCTAAAGATAAAAAGTAGTTTAAAGCTAATAAGACTTTTACAAGCTAGTTTATTTAACAGCATCCATTAGCTAATATTCCCTTGCAGGCTATTGACGGGTTAATCAAATTATTACTCTGCTTATCCATTTCCTGCTTCCAGACCTGAAGGTCATCCCCATACCCATGGATCACCTATCACGCTATTCTTCAAAATCTCATTAAAATTTACTTGAAGCTTGGCTGGATAAAACTAAGCTTAATTCAAAATGCACCAATAATCCTTTTCCCTAATACTATGAGTTACTCCACTATGTTTTAAAATTTGTTTTTATTCTGAATTTAATGAACACTAAATAAAATGGACATTTCCACATACCTAGAATAGAAAAAGAGAACTGTATGTGAAGCTGTGGATCTGTTATGTATAGCTTACTGTTTTAGAAATAAACACATATATGCAAAATAAATTCAACACGTAACTTTCAAAACCATCCTGCTTGTCTCTACTATCAGGGCATATTTATACATTTTTGTATTTTTAGCCAACTCTTAAGCATTCATGCTAAGAGATATATTTTATAAACAATGGATAATCTAAAAATAATTGCTATCTAACTCCGAAAAGAGTTATTGGCTTAAAAAATCAGCTTTACCTTTTTAAGAATGTTTTATTTAGGCTAACATTAAAATTAATTTGCCTTCTCTATGCACACATTGGTTGGCTAGTGAGGGAAAAACAAATGGAAGGAAAGCTATTGGGCAGCTGTCATGGATAATCAAAACTTTCTACTATTTATAGAATTGCTCAAAGTTCCTTCCTCCTGGTCAGCCTTTTCTTACATTCTCCCACATCTAAGTCTTTGTCCAGGTTGTACCAAATGTCAGAAACATTCTCCTTACCCAGCTGGTCATTTAACATCAAATAGATCTAGAAATCTTACTTCTTCCTCCTGAAAGCCTTCCCAGACAGATGAGAAAAGAGAGGTAAAAATAACCCCCTTAGCTTCATTATGAGCATGGACCTCAAATCGCTTCCTACACCACCAAAATACACCTACCTACCACAGAGCATAATCAGAAATTCAGAATCAAGATTCTGTTTGCATTTTCATTGTGGAAAGGTACTGTTAGTTCAAGAAAAATATCTTTATGTCTTATTTTTAGGTAGATATCATGAAAATGATGATAGTCTGAAACCCTGTTTTAAAACTGTGAATATAATTTGAACACACTTGTAGAAATTTAACCAAAATAAGCAAAGAAGAATATATCTTACTTTTTAAAAAATGAGCTCTGACAAAATAAGTATAAGTACGACTCTGAGAGCTGTTTTCCCTTGTAAAGAGCAGGCAAGTTTGGGTTTGAGCACATTACCTTTCAGTCAACAAATATCCTCTTCTTTGTGCCCAGATCTGTAGAAGACAAAGATAAACCAGAAGAGCTAGAAGAGCTTAGTTGCAGGTTATCAGATTTAAACACAAGAAACAATTAGATGACCAAGCAAGAAAGACAATACAAGGAACAATTAGAAATGACATGTTTAATTTAGTAGTACTAAAACTCCACAGAAATAAAGGATTGATTAAGTTTGAGTTGAGGTAGTAAGAGAAGTCTTTACAGAAGACCTGAGATGGGCAGGGAAAAGCTTTGAAAGGCAGAAGAGATGACGTATGGAGAGCACTGCAAGCAGGAGATTATAACACGAGCAAAGGAGGGGAGGCAAACCTGCTCGGGTTTGTGTGTATAATGGCGAAATTAGAATAACCAAAGATTTTATTGGAACATAGGGGGAAATAGAGTACTGACTGACAACTGCTTTGGGATTGGGATCATCTCTCATTTATCTTCCTATCTCCTTTAGGATAGCACAGTGTTTTGTGTACAGCAAGCACTTAAATATATTTGGTGAATCAATTAATCTATATATTTATATAAATGGTTTAACTACTGTCTCTAGTCAACAAATTATGAACAATGTTTTAAGTGTGATAACACTCATGCTGCTTTACTTGCTACATTCTTTTTATATCACCTAATGTAATAAACAATATCATAAACATCTTGCATTCAATTTACTTTCTTCAGTTCTTAGCAAAGAAATTTCTCTGAAATCAAAACATTTATATAAAATAATAAGAGCTAGAATTTATATAGTGCTTTAAGGTTTCAAAGCACTTTACAAATATTACCTCAATGTCATCCTCACAATAACTCCGACAGGTAGATACTAGACAGATGAGAAAACTAAACGAAGACAGAAATTGAGTAACTTGCCCATGGTCACGCAGCAAGTAGATGCTTGAGGTTAAGATTTGAAGTTAGGTCTAACTGATTCCAGGTCCAGCACCCTACCCACTGAACCACCTAGGTGACATCTGATGAACAGTTAACAGTAACTTCAATACTGTTAAATAACGTTTTTAATACAAACCTATTCCTTTTTCCTCTCCATTAGTATCAAAACTCAACTAGAAAAGGAGGTCACTAATCTTTATGAAAGGCTCCCTGCAAGCATATATATCTGACTTGGAAAATCACATACTAACAGTTAGCATGTTTTATTGTGTTTTTACTTATTTCGTTAAATATTTCTCAATTACACTTTAATCTAGTTTGGTCCGAGTTAGCATTTGACACCTCTGGTGTAAACCAGAAAAAGCTGCCCACACGAATGAATACAATCAGTATGCAGTAAAATCCAGTTACAAAGAGGTTTACACCTCCCACAATTTATACCTATACTCGGAGTCAAACGGTGATGCTGTATTCATCTCTCTACACAAGTATTATATTGCAATTTTCCTATAAATTACTGGTAGTCAATCCTCTCTCCCATCTGAATGTAACTGAGTGGTGTTATCATCCAGTAGGAATTTTTTACAAGTTTTTCTTTTTTTTAAGTGGGAATGAAAATATTCACCGTCACGAATGCCACCAACAGCGGTAGCGAAAAGTGTCCGGCTCCATCGAACCCGCATCTCTCACCTGAGGCTCGGGGGCGGGCAGCTTCCCGGCACCCCGCAGGACCTGGCGGCTGCCAGGGAAGGCGGGGCTCCGGCGCCCTCCAGCAGACACCAAGCCCACCCTTGCCCCCTTCCCTACACGCAGCTCGATTAAACAAGGTCGTCCCACTTCCCCAAAGCCGCCAACCCGTACGACGCAGAAGCCACGATCGCGGGGGCGAGCGCCAGGGGCGGGACCCTGCTCGGCCCGCCCCCTCCCCCCGACTCCCGGGCTCGGCCCGCGCCCTCGGGCTACCCCGCCAACTAGGCCCTCGGGTTCGCTCGGCCTCCGCCTCGGCGGAAAAGACCTGGCCCGACCCTTTGTTAAAAGGAAGGCCGAGGTCTCCGGGCCTATACTAGGCCACACGGCCGTCTCCCGGTGCCCTAACAGCTGCTGGCCCAATACCCTGACCCCCCCACCTAGTCCGAAGAGGCCTACCGAGCCTCCGCAGCCACAAATGAGTCCCGCCGCTCCGGATTACGTACGTTCGGTCTGTGTTCCCTCGTCCCGGTGGGTGCTAGTCGCTCTCCACCTTCAGTCACAGCAGCCGCTTAGCCGGTTGCTGGGAGGGGGGAGGGGGAGGGCAGTGCGTAATGTGACATGCGCAATGAAGGGGATGCCGGGAGAGGGGCGGAGCCTAAGGCCCTACTTTCCCTGAGGAGAGAAGAAAAGCTGAAGAGGGCGTGTGCTCTCGCCCTTCTCCCTCGCTTCTCGTTGCTCCGATGAGGACTGGAGCTGTTCAAGTGTGCCTCTGGCTATTATTTTACCCGTCAGCAAACGTGAGGGAGGAGAATGGGGTTCTGGGAGGAGTGAGGGGCAATCTTGGTCAAGGAATTTCCGTATGTACTCTGAAAGGACGAGCAGGTAGAACCGAATCTGGAGAAAGGTCCAAGTTCTTCCTAGTCCAGTCAGAAGATAAAAAGAAAAACAAATTCCCACCCTATGTTAATACGTATGTACATGGTCGAATTTCCCATTCCCTGCCCCCTCGCACACGTGGTCTCATTAAACACGAAGGAGGTGTCCCTATACTTTCCGAGCGGTAAAGAGGAAGAACATTTTTAACCTTCGCCCCTCCCTCCCGGAGCCTTGGGTGAGGGCCAGACCCCCCTCCCAGCCTAACAGCGCATACGCACAATTACGCAACGTACGTAAAAGGAAAGCGCCGCGGCGACTGCGTGCGTGGGTGCGTGCGTGCGTGCGTGCGTGCGTGCTATACCCAGCCGGCCGGCAGTGACGGCGTGCCGGGCCCTGCCTCCGCGCATTACTTCTTGGGGGGCTCCGGGCGGAGGAGTGGCTGTTCACTTGGCTGTGGAGGACGCCACAGGAGAGGTCACCGGGACGAGGTCGTAGCAACGGCGACAGCCGCACCTGTCCTCCTTTAGCTTTCAGTGCAGGTAGGGAAGGGAAGGAGCGGGCAGCGTCTCTGACGGTTGGTGCGCATGGACCTGGCCGAGGGATGTGACTTGGAAAGCCACGGGGCCTAGGCTGGTGGTCTTGGCTCCCCCTCTCTCCCTTTCCTCCGCCTTTTTTTCCTTCTCTCCTTTCCATCTTCTCTTGGGTATCCCCTGATCTCAGTACAGGCATCCCTCCCGCCCCCCGGCTCCTTCCCCAAGATTTCAACGGTCTTCAGCCCCCCTTTTTCGTAAAGGGGGATGCTGAGCCAATGGTCTCCAAAGTCCGGTGAGGACAAAGTAAGACAAAGTGCACTCAAGTCTCCCCGGCGGAACGTAAGAGATTGAGAATGCACGTTCCACAGTTCATAGCTTTAGAACTGGAAGAAACCCGAGGAGAGACGGCGAGGTATGGCCGGAAAGGGCACTGTCTCTGATGGTAGCGCACACCTGGGTTCCAATCCCATTTCTTGACACTACCTGTGTGTGACCTTGGGCTAGTTTCTTCCTTCGTCAGCTGTCTGGCCGCCAGTTTCCTCATCTGTAAAAAGAGGATGTTGGACTTGATGGCTTCGGAGATACCTTCCTGATCTAGAATTACGGTCTTATGATCAAGACCAACAGCACTGTTTTACATACGAGGAAACTGAGGCCCAGGGAGATTAAGGGAAGCACCAGATCTTACCTACCAGGGCCACTTTAGCTTCGGTAGTACTTGGAGGAGTGTCCTAGAAAATCTCCCAAGGTCATTGAGCTTTAGGTTTCTGAGTCAGGGCATGGGATTTGAAAGCTCATGCTGTTTTTCTTCCTCCGCTCATTGCTTCTAAATACTGACTTAATATCCCAGAGAAGAGGCTGTTGGAGCTTAGGGAGATAATCCAAACTTGTTGATGCACTTGACCTACTTCTTTCCCTGTCTTTTATCTTCGTTTGCCTACCCTGACAGTCAGTTGTGTGTCTTGCTTGTCAGGGATGTAGTGGTGTATTGCTTGAGAGCTGAGGTGACAGGTGCTGCTGAGATGTTGTGTAGGAATTAAATACCCAAATGTCATGGCTAATTTTATCCCCAAGAATTTTGCTGACATCTTGTGTCTTATTCTCTCTCTTTTTTTTAAATAGACAGTACTAGAGAAAAAATTCAACAAGAAATGTTCAAAGCCAGTTCCAGGGTATGTGATGGCATTGACTTCCAAAGTGTTCATTTTGAGGACTTACTTAAAAAGAAGATTGACTTCAGTCTAGAATGATAAAGGCTAGTCGGACTGAGCTGTTTATGTTTATAAGTGTTATGAGTAGAATGAGTGCAAACATTCAACAAATCACAGAATATGAAAACTAAGCAAATACTTCTTCAGGCTTCAAGGGAGTTTTGGAACAAGTAAAGGGAAGCTTTTAAAAAAACTAATAGCTTAAAGTATAAGAAATTAGATAAATTTATGTATGCATACTGGTGGACTAGGAATATTTTGGTAACAGGTTGATTGTCAAATACAGTTATACTTAGCAGTAAAATATTCCTTGGTGTCACTATAAGAAATCATCTGACCCAGTACGACATTTATGTTCACATGTATCTTTTTTCTGAATCTGATTTTGGTTTAGTTAAGCTCAAAGAAGGTGATACTATTCACCCATATGAGCATATGTCACTGAACTCTTGAGGAAGGCAGCGCAGTATCTGTAGAAGAAAGAGTAATGAATTTGGTGTCAGGAGACCTGGGTTCGTATCCTGACTTGATACATGCTAGTATGGATAAGTCATGTTACCCCCTGAACCTTAGTTTCCTTATCTATAAATTCGGGGTAGTAACATTGCTTATGTGTAGAAAGCGCTTTGTATATATTGCCAGTGTGGTGTAGTAGAGAGAGTACTGATCAAGAAGATCTGGGTTTAAATTCCTCTTCTGATACTATCTGTGTAACTCTAGGCAATGTAACTTATTGAGCCTCAGTTTCTTTGTCTGTAAGGAAGGGGTAAGGAGAGGAATCCTTAGAGGTTGGCAGCCACAAATTTCCTAGGGGCAGCTCGCCCCCTGCCATGCAAAGTAATACAGATAAAAAGCTGCATAATGGAAAAAATTCAACCATGACAAGAAGATAGGTTAAAGCCTCCACCATAAGTTCTCAAAAAAAAAAAAGCATAATTGAAAACCAGTTTACCACCTCATCAATTCAAGTGCCCTTACAGCTCATGTCAGTCAGTCAACAAGAAGTCACCAAGCATTTATTGAATAGTGGGGATTTTAAAAAAGGCAAAAAAAGAAGCAGTCCCTACTGTCAAGGCACTCACAGTCTAATGGGGGAGATATTGGGGAGGGGGGAGGTTGGGCAGCTAACAAGGTATGGAAATTATAAATTGTAGATAATCAACAGAGTGAAAGCATTAAATGGGGAATTAGGAGAGACTTCTAGAAAATGGGATTTTAATTGAGATTTGAAGGAAACTAGGGAGGCTAGAAGACAGATGAGGCAGGAGAGTAGTCCAGGTGTGAGAGAACAGCCAGTGAAAATGTCTGGATTCTGAGATGCAGTGTCTTCTAAGAGGAATAGTAAGGAGGCTAGTGTCAGTGGAGGGGAGTAAAGTATAGTAAGGCTAGAAAGGTATGAAGGGATTTGATTAACAAGAAGAGTTTTAGATTTGGTACTAGAGGTGACAGGAATCCTCTTGAGTTAGAGGGGGAAGGTCAGGTGACACAGCCAGATATTTTATTTAGGAAGATCAATTTGACCACTGAGTGGAGGATGGACTGTGGTGGGGAAGGACTTGAGGCAGGAAACCAATATGCCTGCTCTTGCAGTAAGGGAGAGGTAAGGCAATGAGACCCTAAACCAGAGAGGTGACAATGTCGGAAGAGCGAAACAGACATACACAAAAGATGTTTCAGAGGTAGAATCAGTAGGATTTTGCAACTAATTGGATGGGGGAAGTGGGGATGGTGAATGAAAGCGAAGAGTCCAGGATGACACTGAAGTTGTGAACCTGAGGATGGTGGAGGATTGACTAATAGGAAACTTAGAGACAGGAAAGGCCTTGGGAAAGATAATGAATTCAGTTTTGGGAATGTTGTATTAAAAGATGTCTTTGGGACATCCCGTTCCCATTTGAGATGGGAGATTGGAAGCCATGTGCCCTCCTTGGCTACAACCTTCATTTCTGCTGTATCTTTAGGCACTTGGCCATTGGGGTTAACCCTTTTCAGTTGCCCAGAGGTATTCCTGCTCCCAGAGTAGATGAAAACCTTATCGTTCCAGGCAGGCCTCCCTCAGCTTCCAGTTTCCTTTGTCCTGGCCCAAGTTGACCCCACAGACACATAGGTCGGGTAATTTTAGGCAGTTTCCCAGGAAGATTTCCACTACCAGTGTAAGTTGAGGCCCTTGAATAAAATGAGCTCCAAGGACTGAGAAGAAGGAAAATCAAGGATGGCTGCTGAGAAGTATAGAGTTTGAAAGGAGCAATGAAATTGAGGGGTCACATTACTGATTAAAATTAACATAGCATAATAGGAAAAGGGCAGCCATATGTATTTTCATGTATCCAGGGCTTGACAAGTTCATGAATGTGGTATGGAAGACTGTTTCTGTTGTTTGGTTTTCTTTAAAAAAAATAAAACAAAAACCACAAAACTTCACATTTGGTGACAGTGAGGAGGCAAAGAGAATATCAGTGAGCTTAAGAATCTAAGGAATAAAATGTATAATGGGAAAAACCAGAAGGAAAGTATGTGGAAGAAGTAAATTAATATTTCAGGATTAGAAAACCTCAAATTAATATTTATAGGTCATCAGATGATACGTAAGAATTCTCAGAAGGGGAGAGGAGATAGAAAGATACTGAAGACTTTTCGATTTCTACCTTTCCCTTTGGACTAATAGGGAGAATAAAGGTAGAACATTGTGGGACGTATTGAAGAGAAAGTTGGGTGTGGCTAACAGAAAGAGAATGAACTGGCAAGACCCCCATTTAAACCATGGAAAGACATACAGAGTGAAAATGAGATGATGAAATGAAATCTTATGTTTTAGGTGACTCCAAAAAACAAGAGTTGGCAACAATAAATGCTAAAATCGAAAGAAAGAGAAGCTACATTATGCTTTAGAATGCCATGGTCATGAAAAAATATCACATGTATATTTAAAAGAAAAGCTAGACAAATTGCAAAAGGATGTTGAAGAGTACATTAATACACTTGTCTTCACGTAGCGCCTCCAACAATTGTTATTTTCCTTTGTTGCCATCTTTGCCAGTTTGATGGTTGTGAGGTAGGACATCAGATTTGTTTTGTGTCACTGTCATAACACAATATTTATAAAAGACCGTTGAGGGATTATCCCCAGAAAAATATAAAGCTGAATGAATTGATAGATAAGCTGGTTTTGATTGACCTGGCAGTTTCTGGTTGAGAATATTATAGACACATTTCCTGGCTGCCCATGGTAACTTTATATCAGTTGATAATGTCCTGGGACCTGAAGGAATCATAAGACCACAAATAATAAAATAGTAAACCTTAAAGGAAATATGAGCAAGAGATACAAACCCAAATGAAGATTAAGAAATGACATCTTAAAGATTGAATCAAAGAACAAATCAAGGAAACAATACTTATGTTAAAAATAGTAATGACAGTGAAACAGTATACCCAGACTTATAGACACAGCTAAAATATTCATTTAGAAAAATATATATCTCTGAATTCATATTAGCAAAATAGGGGGAAAAAAAGGAAAAAAAATTATTAACAAAGTAGAAAAAATGAACCAAGCATGTAACTAAAAAAAGAAGCCTAGAAAATAAATTAGCAAGGGCAGCTAGGTGGCGCAGTGGATAGAGCACCAGCCCTGAAGTCAAGAGGACCTGAGTTCAAACGTGGCCTCAGACCGAACACTTGACACTTAAGTAGCTGTGTGACCCTGGGCAAGTCTCTTAACCCCAATTGCCAAATAAATAAATAAATGAATGAATTAACAATCTCAAAACGAGGACAAAAGAAATACTGAAAATT